CACTACACCACTGGACACGGCCCTGAACAATACAAGCATTACATCTCTATCGAATGTCATTGTGTTTTGCATTATTGCTTTGAAAAGTGGTTTCAAATTATGCTTCTATATTCTCTTCCTATTTTATGATTTCATCGTCTCGCAAAGTAACGGGAAGAAACTGATTTTCTTTGTATTAGTGACAATACGTCAATTATGGTGTTGTCAATATGATGTTTCACCATCTCAAAACACATCCTTTTTGTTGGAAAAAAGCAGAGCAAACATGTTTCAACTATTTTGCATAGAAGTAATTACATGTTGGATATGATTATAAATATCTTTCTTTAAAAAGTTTCGGACAACGCTCTGGAGCTTCTAAACATTGGATATCACGTGAGTTGGAAACAGCCATACGCACCGCAATGTTATTATTAGTACAGACTAAGCTGCATCTTTATCGTGCAGAACATGAATTCAAACATGATTAAGCATTCAACATATTGGTAACAGATGTCCGGTTATGAACATTTTGAAGATTTGAAACTATTGGGTACAGGCTGTATAGAAAATAGATAGATAGATGGAGTTTAAGTCAGTTTTCAGAGCAGGGGGAATATTCAGAAAGTGCCATGCAAATTGAGTTCATGCAAACCTGAGACAAAAGCATGAGCTGACAGTAACTAGCTTCTACATTTAAATCCACATTGTCAACACGCTGCAGGAGAATACAAAATCTTCTTCAGGCGTCGTACTTCCTAATAAATTAGTGCATCAGAGCATGAACTGCTCTGGAGATTAAAGCTGACCTTTGGTCTTGTCAAGTCCATTACAAAATGACGTTTCAACCTTTAAGATCGTCAAGTGGTTATGGAAGAATTAGTCGACAAAAACAAAGTCTGTTCAGGGAGACAGGCCCAATAAGGGCTCCGATGTAAAAGCCAGATTTTTTTATTCTCATGAATACAAAAAGCTTGGCAACAATTGTCCATGTTTTGTTGGCCAATAAGTGGCTTGATTGGTGATTATGTCTGTGATTTTAACAACTGTGCTTTTTCTGCTTCAGGCAAAACTGAATACATAAAAAAAGACAAGTCAAAGTTGTTAAGTTCAGTAAAAATATGTGAAACCTTGCTCTACTTAAATAGCCCTATAATGCGTTTTGGGTAAGTTATTGTGCATGTAAATGGTCGGCAAAGGCTAAAATCCCCATGTTCCCGCCAGAGGGAGCTTCTCTCCCACACACATTGAACTCCTTTGTTTACTTCTGCAACGCAGTGACATCACTATGTAATACTCGCGCTTCTATTGGCTAGCGCTCCAATACATTGTAGGTGATAGGCTAAGGGGAGGGACATCTCTAAGCGGTTGACCAATCACAACAGAGCTGGGCTCTGGCTTCAGACAGAGGGTGAAAAGAGGTGCTGCAGCACAGGCAGTATGAGAACAATGAAGAGCTTTTTGAACATTAAAGCAGGGAGACATGTCACAGGAGAGACACTACATACTGATATACACCTGAAAATGAGCAGAATAGGGCCACTAGATTTTTTTTAACATTAGCATTCATGGGAAGTCTTCTTGTTTCCCCCGGTTACAGAGCATTTTTCCGTTTTCAGCAGAGTAACAAGTGGTGTTGAGCCTCTAGGTGTAAGTGAGTTCACATCATTCATATTTGCAAAGGTCTGCACCGATGTGCCTAAGTCAGCACATCCTCCCGCTAACAGAATACATTTTGGCTCCCATATGTAAAGGATGGAGTCTTTAGGGAGGGAAAGATCCTGCAGACTGTGACACTAGAATGAAAGCTGCAGGGGAGAATTCAATCTGCAATAACAAGGCTGGATTTTTAAAAGTCTATCTCATGTTGACACTTTGAGCAGTTTAGCATAAAAATATGCCTCAATTAACACTCAATCATTCAAAAAGCCTATGGCGTTGGTTAAATATCATGCAAGGAAATTAATAGTAAAACATAAAAGGAATTTGCCATCACATTGATTCACACACTCACTGACAATTTCTGAAGAGCCTGAATGGCCTAAATGCTCAGGTCATTCAAGTGGTACTGGTTCCAAAATCTTGCCACACATCTTTAAAAACTTTGCAACAGAACTGATTGCGATAAAATTGCTTTTTCGGCAATGATTTTATATATTAAATGAAAGGACTGCATAAAATACTGGAGCATCTGGCCTCCTGCCAAAGAAGCCCACAGTTATCGCTTCTCTTTTCCTGCACCTGCAAACCTTTTTCTTAACTTAATATTAAAAATACCTCTCAGCACACCACACAATACCATCCACAGACACAGTACACTAGAACTAACAAACACACCATGTATACTAATTCACTAATTTGACTTGTCATGTCCATGTTCGCCTTAAGCATTGCCCTTCAGGCCTTCAGGGGCTTGACCATGGGTGATAAATATACGTTATAAAAGTAGGATACCACCATAAAATTGCCATTAAAGTCAACCATCTTTCTTACACAGCACCCTATTGCAACTGTGTGCAAACCTGCATTTTGCACTGAAGAGTGAACACTAATATTTGGACAAAAATGCTCCTTACTGGGTTACTTAAATCTGCAAGCCATGCCAAGTCTCATTTAAAACTGCATCTTGATACATTTAAGAGAAGATATGAATTCAGTAATAACATTAGGGCTGTCTGTTACAGTATGTTAGCCTATATAAAATGCATTTTATGTATAAGCGCCTTTGAAAAACACTCAAGGACACCATATGCATTTAAAACCAGCAGAAATGTGTTAAGACATAAATCATTCAAATAAACCCTGCCATAGAATAATGAGTTAATACAAAAAACAGGATATTGAATCTTTATCGGTGCAAAACTCGCTGTCATTGTGGCAAATAGAGATCGAATCATACCAATTTTAAAAGCAGGGCTATTGCCACTTTCCCATAAGGCCTACCTACATCAGTAATGCATTAAAGCAGAAGCTTCTCACCGCAGGGGGTTGTATGGTGGACAGTAGAGCTCAAGGACAAGTAAATGCAAATGACTTGCCCATGCTCACATTCATTGCATATCGGTGATAGCTGGGTGTGAAAAAGCTCACCAGGACCAGTAAAAGTGTACTGAAAACTTAATTCAAAGCTCGTGGTGATTATTTGTGAAGCATTCAGTGATTCTAGCGGTTCCTCACATGGGACATGAAAGCAGCTCCATGAGTCCAGCAGCCACTGACAGCTGCCCCGTGTCCAAATAAGGTAATTAAAGGGGAGAAACCGGAAGACTCTCCATGGTAACTCACTCACAAACAGGAGGGGTAAAACAATGGAGTAGTAAGGATGAGATGATTGACAGCTCGCTGCGGCTCGCTGCCTTTGACCGAAACAATTAGCGATATGAGCTCACATATACACCAATACACACATTAGCCTATATTACGTTTTAAACAATGCCTTTCATACAATAAGCTACCGGGCATCATGAAATGTAGTGTCCAACACCTTATGACATACAAAAACACCGACTATTTAACAAAAGCGTGATACATCTGTGTCACACCGGCCCCGTGTGTCCTAATCAATGCCTCATTTGCACTCTCATTTAAAAAAAAAAAACCCACAGCCGACGGTTTATTTCTAGCTTTCTCCAACCTCACTTCACATTGTTATTTCATTATTGTTGTTAAATTATCGTCACGCCCTCCTCATGAGAGTATCCTTAAATGGCCCAGGCTAAAACTTGGCGTTGCAGGATAATCACCACATGGATTTACGCGAGAAAGCGAAGAGCAGCATTACCTCAGTTTCTCCTGTTCATCCTTGTCCTGGACAGCAAAGAGACCCTCTTGTGGTGTGCAGTAGTCCGAGGATAGGATGGGAAACGCTATTTTGCATTTAACCTGGCCGCTGCAGGGATATCACTCTTACAAACCCCTTTAATCTCAAATTGCAGGCTGGTTGTCAGGTGCTCGCCGTGTGCGTCCTCTCAGTCACACCGGGTGCGAAAACCAAGTATCCTGAACTGATTTAAAAGTTACTTATTGTGCTCAAAGGGACTATGGTTCATTGTAAGCCCACTAATTAGTGACTGCGACGGTGTGTTGTATGAAAGCAGCCTCTGTCTCCCCCCTCTCATCCACTACAGTGCTGGATGCTGTCGGTCACAGCAAGTCTCCGCCCCATTACCACCCGCACTGTATTGAAGGATGCATGATGGGTCTTTCATTTTTTTAATCATTTTGAATCAGGTAATTTAGTGTCCTTATCAGCTTGATTTAAATGTATTTTCATGTGGTAGGTATAATCAATGCTCCTATTATTCAGCTTTCCCATTATTTGCCTATGAATGAAAGCAACAAAACACACTATAAGTTAGTCACCTATGTTTTAGTAATATTATGTTTTATTTGATCATCTGTTCATCTTTTCTAGATGTGTTGTTATTTTCACTGGTACCATGGCTTTGTCAAGTCGACTTGAACGCAAAGAAAACGTATGGTGCATATTTTTTCAAAGTAAAAGCGATTCAAACACCACCAGAATGAAATATTCAGGGCATATGAGTGTAGAGAAAATCAACCAACTGCAATTGAATTGATTTAACATTTTTAAGATAGTGGACCGCCTTCAGAGCAGTATTTAATGTGTGAAACATTCAAGTAAAGATGCGTCTTTACACTAATATGGACATATTGTATTATGTGTTGTGTAATGTTAATCTTTAGCCATAATTAACAATTATTAAATAAATAAATTGTTCTAAAATGTTGCCCTCAAGAAGCAGAACCTGAATCCATTATGTTAAATAATTCCAGCTAAGTATATTTCTTTATCGATGTTTTTATTTTTGCAATAACCGGAAATGTAATCGCAACTGTTTACCGTTAGCTTGCCGTTGGTGTTACTTGTAAACTGACCAATCGCAGCAGACTTCATAGCCGTGTTGAAAGTGCGCTCGTTTTGTTCATGTGTAGTGCCGGTGTGAGCGGGTGAATAGACAACACAGTATTCCCGCCCGCTTAAGATGTTGGCGAGTCACAAATCGAGATTACTCAATAGGAATACTTCCTTGTAGTTGACAACAGCGAGTAAAGGTGCACTGAACTAGCTGATACAACACACCATTAAACTACAGCTGCTTAACAATTATCTTAGCAAATGAACATCTTATCTGTCTTGCATATATAAGGTTAGTATCTTAATTCAGCTTGTTGTTTCATAACTTTATTTAGAAAATGCTACCGCTAGCTTAGGTCACCAGGTTGAAACTATGTTTGCTGTTGCTGAAAAACTAGACATATATTATCATGTGTACTTAAACACTGTTAGTGGTGCAATGCAAGGCTGGTTTGTTACCAGACACATGCAGAACAGACAATGGCTCATCTTGATATCGGACAACTATTAATACCTTGACACAGTCTTAGTAAATGGTTTTACACACCATTAATGGTTGCCTAAATGGCTTTACGCACAATCATTAGACCGTTAACATGCAATCATAGTAGATTGTATATCAAGTATCGTTTGCTACAGGCTGCTAGCGAGATAGTAGGGATATGTATAGTACCCTACAAAGCACACTTTATAATGACCTCTTAAGTCATGGTTTAGCCTTTGAACTCCTGTTGCTTAATGACTACCTTTGCACTCATTACGTTGTGTATAAGTGATGACAAAGATAGTAATCCTTTGTGATACAATGCCTAACACTTGCTTTTTTCAACCTTTTGTTAACAGTTGTACACACAGCATGCACTCAGGACAGTCCATTTGTTTGTCCTACAGCCAAGAACACTGTGTAAGTATGCTAAGTACATGTATTGCAATGACTGTATGCTAAGGTTATGGAACATTTCCAATTATTCTTTACTCAGATACATTATCTTTGTACACAGACAGTTAAGATGAACTTTAGCTGTGGTTTTTCTACATTTTTGTTATTGCAAAGTTTGAGCACGTCCTAACTGGTCTTCCAAAACATGTTTCACAACAGATTTCAACACTCTTGTTCACTGTCTCCTGTTTTTATCTCTCTTCTTCAGATATGACTGAGTGAAACTTTGTCATCAATCCCCCAAAACATCCATGTGTATAATTTTCTTCAAGTTTGACCCCCGGCCTGCCTCCAAAAATGCCTACAGGTGAGCACATAGCCCTTTCAAGAAACTTTGATACTCTCTGTGCATGATCACAGGAAAGTACTAGCTCGCTAGCAGGGACTATCTGGGGGTGAAAAGGTTCTAGGGACTGGTTCCAGGTCCTTTTTGGTGTGAAACAAATTCCCCCCCTATCGGCCTAGTTCGGGGGGAAAAGTACTCCGGGGTGAAAGCGCTAGTGATGATACTTCTCCATAAGATCCCCAATATGTCATGCTGTATTTTTATGTACAAATATAATGCGTGATTTTGTTGATGAAACTAAACGAGCACTGCATTTCAATATTTCCCTCAGTTGGCATCATGTGACTTCAGTGAAGCGTTGGAACATGCAGCAAAACAATATTAAGATAAATTTTTTCAAATAAGGTGAAAAGCCTTTATCAGGTGCCAGGTTTTGACATCACTTCCGCCACACCTTGACAATTCTCCAATTTTTCCTCATTTCATCTTTCTCCAGGAGACACTTTGAGCTTTTAAAGGTGCACACACACAGACAGCAGCATAGTAACAGAGGAGTTAAGGGAAGAGACGTTTATTTTCTGTTGTTTTATTTAAAAAAAAAATTTCATACCTCATTTTGCTCAACAATGTTAATTTTAAACGTCACCTATTATGCAAAATCCACTTGTTCAGGTCTCTTCTACATCAACGTGTGTCCCTTCTTCTTCATGTCTCTTCTACATCAACATGTGTCCCCTCTTCTTCATGTCTCTTCTACATCAACATGTGTCCCCTCTTCTTCATGTCTCTTCTACATCAACATGTGTCCCCTCTTCTTCATGTCTCTTCTACATCAACATGTGTCCCCTCTTCTTCATGTCTCTTCTACATCAACATGTGTCCCCTCTTCTTCATGTCTCTTCTACATCAACATGTGTCCCCTCTTCTTCATGTCTCTTCTACATCAACATGTGTCCCCTCTTCTTCATGTCTCTTCTACATCAACATGTGTCCCCTCTTCTTCAAAGAGACTCTACATCAACATGTGTCCCCTCTTCTTCATGTCTCTTCTACATCAACATGTGTCCCCTCTTCTTCATGTCTCTTCTACATCAACATGTGTCCCCTCTTCTTCATGTCTCTTCTACATCAACATGTGTCCCCTCTTCTTCATGTCTCTTCTACATCAACATGTGTCCCCTCTGTGGAAAGAGACTCTGAAAGTTTCAGGAACAAAGATTCTCTCTCT